AGATAGTCCTCTAAAGTCTTCTAAGAACTTCTAGGAACTTTATAACAAGGTAAATTATCAATGTTTGCTTTTAAACTACTTATAATTTTATTAGAAATCAGCAGATACAGGCTTATAGCTTTGTATATCAGTGTATTTGTTAACCCCTCATATAATCCTATACACTATACTCCAAACACTATATTTAAAAAATGATATAAAAATGAACTTTATTTTTTTAAATAGTGGAATAATAAAGTCCATAATTTTACATTCAGATGTAGTTTCATTCCCATTCCTTTCATCAGTTCACACACACACATATATCTGAGAAAGGCTCTGCAGATACAGTAAGAACCATCTAGTGAAACAAAATGGCAATTTTTGTGATTAAACTGTTTCTGAACAGCAAAACAAAATCTTGCACAGTGAATGTACCAGCATAAAACCTTGAGCTGGTGTGTAGCAATGTTTTTCTTTCTTCCTCACCTTTCCATGAAAATTCACATGGTATTTTCCCAGTTCAGTAAATATGAGAAATTAAGTAAGATCATGAAGCTCTTGGAAAATAGAACAACTCACTATGTAGTAAAATTGGAGGCATCAAGTTCTGCCTTCCAGTTTTTCCAGTGCAAATTAGAGGAAATAATTTTAATTTAGACTTACTGTAAACTAAATTCTGAGATTTTATTGCTGATTTCTACCAGAGTGAGTGAAAACAGAACAAACCAAAGGGATCTCCGAGTCCCACAGGTGTTCTGTATATGCATAAATGGTTGCTTCACTGAATTAAATAATTTCATTACATAATTGATATTTCTTATTCATTATACATTCACAATCACTGTATTAAAATGAAAGTACAAATGCCCAAATTCTCCCTTTGGTAACACCACTTAAGTCTGTGGAGCGATCATCAGGAAGATTTTTTTCCCCCAGAATTTCTCTAATTTTTTCAGTTCTTTTGACTCTTAGGGTTGATTTAGGTGGGGATGCTGGAAACAATTCCACATCAAACCACAGAGACTTTGTTTTTAAAAAATCCATGAATTTAGAGAAGCAATAATCATAATAATACGTATTTAATACATTAGTAACATGACATTCAGTCCTATCATGTACCCCCATGACAATAACTTTGTAATGTTCCCTTCACGGATGAAATCAGGACTTTGCTTAATTAACTTGGAGCTCTACTGCTAATGCAGACAAGCCAAGGTTTCACCATCTAATTCAGTACATCCCTTCACAAGCCTTTTTAGAACTTTTTTGTTTTATAAAGAAGAGGTTGTTTACAAAGAAGATGAAATTTTCAGTACCTTAAGGGGCTACAAGAAATTTGGAGAGGAACTGTTTACAAGGGCATGTAGTGAACAGATGAGGGGGAATGGCCTTAAACTGAAGGAGGGCAGGGTTAGATTAGATATTAGGAAGCAATTAATGACTGTGAGGGTGGTGAGGCCCTGGCACAGGTTACCCAGAGAAGCTGTGGCTGCCCCATCCCTGCAAGTGTTCAAGGCCAGGCTGGATGGGGCTGTGAGCAACCTGATCCAGTGGAAGGTGTCCCTGCCCTTGGCAGCAGGGTTGGAACCTTTCAACCCAATTCCCTTAGGATCACATTTATAAACATACCCAGGTGTTGCTCTGATAGCCCTTCAAGGCCTCAATATCTTACTAGTTCTAATTCTACTGAAAGTCAACCATCATATTCCCCGTAGGAACAGGTCATTCCACAAATAACAAGCAGAGAAATGTGCCATTAGTGGTTCATAAACATCCCGTTGCATCTTTTAGCTGCACTCTAATGTTTTGATTTCTCTGGGTGAAGAGAAAGCTTTTAACCCTGTTCCAGCTGTGATAACATGAAACCAGCACTGACCTGATACTCGAGCACATGTGTCCCAGGTGGTGAACTGGAAGAACATGTCAGATGATGACATATTATCTCATTATCACTCTCATTTACAGGCAGCAGGTGGGTGGAATGACTTACTCCAAGCCTACTGCTTGGTGCCATTGAAGGATAAAACCCCAACACTCTTAAAACACAGGTGTTTCCATTCGAGTCCAAATTATCCTTTTAAAAAACATCTGTTTTTGCTGGAATTTGCCTTCTCTTGAAATATACTTTACAACTAAAATATTTAAAACTGAACAAAATGAAGCCTGGATGGTCTTAATATTTAGAAAGGCAGACACATGTGATGTTCTCTTTTATGCAGAGAAGACTCCAGTGGTAAAACAAAGTTGTTTTCCACATTGAGCAAGGATCCAGACTCCTCCTTTTGTACATTAAACAGTCCATGCCTTTGTACATTAAACAGCTCATAACCATCTCTCTAATAGAATGAGGAAATTCAAGCAAATCCATTTGTTACTTTTTGAAGTACAATGAGCTTTGCCTTCCCATGTGAGTTGTTTCTTCTTCTGATTGTAGCAAAGGAAAAACACACGCACTTCAAACTTTCAAGGGAAATCTATATATTATACATAGAATGCACTTGTATAAATTAGTCTACAGTAAATTTAAGTTACTAATTCAAATAATACACATGTGTTATGAATAATTAGGTCACACATAAACCTGGGATAAAAATTCAGTAAACTCCAAAGGGTGGCTTTCTTAGGATACATCCATCAACCACTCCTGCTGTGGCTTCCACTGTTAATTTTCATGTGATATTTCCAAGTGTTTTATGCTCAGTAGCATAAAGTTGTTAATTGGATGTTTCCTGTCCTAGGAAACCTCATGGTTGCATGGTACTTTGAGTATCAATGGAGCAAAGGACACTGAATTGACTTTGGGCACTGGAAGAGAGTGGGTAAAAGACCAGAAGCAACCTGAAAATTTTTTGGACTCAGAAAACTGGGATCTCCCTCCCTACAGAGAATACACAGTCAAAGCTGAACTTGCATTACCATGCAAAATAACTCTGTGACTACCAAAGAATAAAAGAGAAATGCATGAGTTTTATGGTTTCTGGGGACGGAATGAAACTATAAATTTAGTTTAAATGATTACTGTAGTCTTCCTACTTTGATGTATCAGGAGTACAAAAAATAAGTACTGCTTAAAGACAGATCCTGTAAACAGAAATTATGAAAAGTATTACATAACAATATTCTTGTTTAATTTTTACTTTAGGGTTGTGTGCAAGATTTGCCATTATTAAAAAAAACAAAATTAAAATAGAAATTAATAAGTAAACATCAGGAGCAACTGTAAAATGCTGAAAGATGCTACAAATATAATTTCTGTTAAGAAAGTGTAGGGAACACAGTACTTCAAATAAATTTAACCACAGCAAGGTAAGAATTAGGCTGTTAAGACACCTGAATAGGTTTATCTCTGCCTGAAGAGATGCCATGAGGGGAAAAGTTAAAAAAGGTCTGAATTGTCCTGAAGCATCACTTTACCTGATGTGACTAGTGTTGCTTAATCAAAGGCAAACATTTCTGGTGGGGTTTTTGGTGGTTTTTTTTACTCTCTAGGTGCCTTTGTGGTGTTCTCCTAATTTTAGCATGTTGGATTCAATAAAAAGCACAGTTAAACTGGAAACACTCAGACACTGAGCACAGTGTTGTAATGTTACAGCAGGATGAGAGATATGGGAGAAGATCAAAGAGCACATGTGCCATGTGAGGAAATGCAAACAAAGCTACTACTGATAGAGGATGGTTACTACATCAGCTCATCTACTTTACTTCAAAATCCATATTGTTTTTTTTTTAATGTGTGAGGACCAATTTGCAACATAGGGGGAAAACTCCTGCAGAACTTTAAGCCAGAAAAGCCCACCTTTTAAATACTTGAGAGAAGTACCTGTACCAGGATCCTGGACAGTGTGAAGGAAAGATAGAACCCAGCCCTCTGAAGAGACCAGCTGAAGTCAAGGCTGTGGGGAATTGAGTTCTGTATAAATTGGTCACGCTGAGTAGTGTCTCTTCCTCTGACCACTGCTTTCTCATCTGCCCCATCTGAGTCAGCACAGCACTGCTTTGTTTAAATAAGGTTTATTTAAAGTGTTTCCTCTCTAGAGGTTTGGTGGTACCAGTCACCAGAAATACGTGTTCCTTTGGAAACTACTCCCATCACCACTGTGCTTATGTAAATAAATATTGTCTGAAGATGGTTGTGGAGAAATACCTTTGGGAACAAGCCCTTAATTAGCACTTATTCGTTGGCAAATATGACCTACAGCTTTTAAACATCTTTCTAGTAAGGAAAATTCACAGCTTATACCATGGTGTATAGATGGAATAATGTATGAAATATGCCTGAGAAAAATCGCTTCTTTGAGATTAATCTTACACAAAAAGCAACTATGCAGACTGATTCCAGAAAGAATCACCTCACTGGCTTACACAGCTGATTTTGAGGGAATCTCTTTAGGTAGTAAATATTAATAATCAAGATGGAAATGTAAAAGTCCAAGTTCCACGTTTGTTTACTTCCCTGTTGTGGGGAAGTGTTTGATATGTTAAGAAGTTGGTGTAACATTCAGTCACACACTGTCTCATTGCAGCTGTTGACAGTCAGTAATAGAACAATATTCCTGTTCATATCATAATTATTAGATATATTTAATGACAGTAACAGCTTTACCCTTGCATTTCTGCTTCCACACTTAATATTTTTAATTAATAAGCAAAACCAGACTTCATGCAAGAGAAAACAAACAAACAAACGAAGCAAAGTCTTGAGTTAGGGATAGAACAGGATTAAGCATGGATTTGGGAGATACCAGCTTATTTCAGTTAAACAGCTGGTTCCATTTTATAGTACAGTCATCATTTTAATTTCAAAATTTTAAACTGTCGTCTAAATATTTTCTTAAATGCATTGCAAGTTTTATCAGAAGAAAGAGACTAAACACATCTTTGGCGGATCTGGAAACTGAGATAAAGAAAATAGAGAAAGAAAAGTAATGTTTGAAGAGAAGTGCTTTGCCTGTAGCCCCTACCCACCAAAAAAACCCCAAAATGGAAAGAAGCCGGAGTGTTTTGGGCTGGAAGGAGTCTCACCTGCCTGGATTTTCTGTGTGGCCCTGGTGCAGTTGGCTGGTTCGAGCAGCAGCACTGTGATGCACCAAATGGTTTAGAAGATTAGTTGCTGCTCCTTTGGCTTGCCCAAGAGCTCTTTCTGCATGGATGCTTCAAAGATTATTTGTTGTAATTCCCGTGTTCTTAGGCTTATCTGTAACACAAAATGCACATGGATATTATCCCTGCACGGCCTCCCCAGCTGCCAGTCACCAAGTACTGCACTTGTTCTTCTTTTCTTCTTAATTTTCTTCTCCAGAACAATGTTACATCATTTCTTTTCAGTTCCTAGCGCAGTTAAAACTTTAATTTACAGTCTGAAATTGGTTAGTAAATTAAGAAAAAACCCAAACAACAACAACAAAAAAAACCCAACAAAAAGCCAAAGCTTTTGGAAGCACTGAAAGGCTAATTCTTCTGTCAATGGTTCATACTGAATCTGAAGATCTATCCAAAGGTGAAGAACTGACAAAGATATATATTCCTTCAGGAAAACATTTGCCAGCTCTCGGGAGGTTGTATAAAAGTTATGGATTTGCAAGATATCCAGGAAAGATAAAGATGTCCTTGTTAAAAATGCTCTATATGACCATGTAATATGCAGCATGAAGGAGTATAATTATGTTAAGTGTCAGGAATATCATACAATCCTAGAATGGTCTGGGTTGGAAGACCCTCCAGTTCCAACCCCCTGCCATGGGCAGGGACACTTTCCATTATCCCAGGTTGCTCCAAGCCCCATCCAACCTGTCCTTGAACACTTCCAGGGATAGGGGTGGGTAATGAAGGAGTATAGCATGAAGGGCTGTAACTGTGTCAGGTATTCAGGAATCTGTAATCCCATTTGTTTATGTTCACTTTCATTTGACTTATCAGAGGCCAATAAATTCTTACTGTTTTAATTCAGCTTCCCATGTGTTCTTCTGAGAGGGTTATGTCTTGTAAAGTTTGCTGTCAGTTCAGGAAATCCGGAGTCCTCTGGAGAGTTTGCAACTGGAAAACACTTTATGAGACAAAAAAAAAATTAAAAAAAATAAAGAGTTTATATCTTAGTCTTTATGATAGAAATGTCTTTTTGGTTTTGAAGTAATATAAAGAGTAATGATCAACTTCTTGTGAGTAAAGAACTGTAAATCATCTCAAATTTAGTAATGACAATATTAAAAGAGATTTAATCAATAGCATGAAACAAGAAAATATTATTATGTACAGAGTGTTCTGGTATCTACCTAACCAGTACTAAATAAAGTGCCAGCCTACTTAATGCTGGGAAAATCTCTTTTGAAGTTTAAGATCAAAAGCACTTTTTAAGCTTAAGGAACACCATACGGTTTCAATTCTTGCTTTCGAACAAGCACTTTAAAAAGCACAACTAAAATGCAACTGACAAACTTGAAAAATCTTTTGTGTTGTTCCACTTGGATGATCTAATGAGAAAATGGTTCAGTTCTGTTGTAGCTAATGAGGTATAACATCTTCACTGAACCTGAATATAAACCAGATATTTCTCTGAAGATATAGTTTTGACATGCTTCTGTTTCCTTACTCATTTATTCTGCCATGTTTTTATTTAAGTGATGTCCAATGAATAAAAGCACAGGTCAGTTTTGAAATAGAACATTTACACGTGAATCGACTCAATCCGAAAGTACTTTGAACTCTGTATACAGGCATTGTGGTTTCAAGTGGGAAAATGTGTTTCACCAACTTATGAAGGCCCCGAGTTTGCGAACAGACATATTAATGTAGCCAGACAGAGATCTGTGATAACACATTTTTGACAGATGAAGTTCTGAAACAGAACCTGAGCGTACATGAATTTTAACCTACCTGGTTTCAGCAGCAACTTACTATCAATGTGAACACTGAGATTTGGCAAAGCAGTGAAGATAGTATCGAATGATAGCATTTATTCTGGTAGGACCTAGAAGCTAATATCCTACTTAAGGGCTTTATTTAGATAGTAAAATATTTATGCCAAGAAATTTATACAAGGATTAAATAAGGACATAAACCCATAGGTGTGAGAAGTATAAGATATTAGCAAAAGAGTTAGGTTCAGTGCTGCAAGTAGTGTTTGCAGCTCAGCAACAGTTTAGATGTGGTTGGGCATGATGACAGCATCCTGGCTGTAAAAAATTTAAGGAGACAATTGGGGTAGAATATCTTTGTGATGCAGGTGTCTGCTGGTAGACCTTCTTATCTCAGAATCATAGAATCCAAGAATGGCTTTGGTTGGAAGGCACCTTAAAGACCATCTAATTCCAACTCCTGCCATGGGCAGGAACACCTTCCACTATCCCAGGTTGCTCCAAGCCGTATCCAACCTGACCTTGAACACTTCCAGGGAAGGGGCATCCACAGCTTCTCTGGATAACCTGTTACAGTGCTTCAGCACCCTCACAGGGAAGATTTTCTTCCTAATGTCCAATCTAAACCTACCCTCTTTCAGCTTGTATTTATTTCTGTACATACAGATATATCTTCTATCTGCATCAACTTTATCTATAAAGCAAAGAGGTGTGAGGAAAAGCTGCACAGGTTGATGAGGATGTGAGAATAAAACTGATTATACTGATGCTTCTCATCATCCTTAATACTTGTGTTTCACATGTATAAAAGAACGGTTTCTGTGCTTCATAAATGTGAAACTGAGACATAAGGAGAGAACTGGCTTGCAGAACACAGAGTGGCAACAGACTCTAGATCTCCTTGTTACTCTGTTTCCTCTCCTGTGGAAATCGATGGTTTAAACGAATACTGCCGGCTTTTGAGCTGGCAGGAAGGAATTCAGTTCATCAAACAAATCTCCAGAGAAGTTTCATGCTGTGATACAGAACACACAGGTCTGCAGTGGGACAATAAACTCTTTCATTCGGTGGGGTCTTAGTGATAAACGGGGCTACAGAGACAATAACCCTTCTGTTCACAGGAGACACGTGCTGGGCTGGCCTCCTCTCTGACTCCTTGCTGTTATTGTTATTCTTGTGTTTAGGAAACCTAACAATGAATCCTACTAAAAATCTCCATTCCAGTGAATTTGTACTGTAAAATGAGATGAGAGACACCCAATGAATGCAGACAGACTGACAGATGGGTGAGCACAAGAAAATGAGAAATGAAATTGGTCAGTGTGACAGACAGGGATCACAGCAGATGCCCAACTGTTGGGAAGCTTTCTTTTGGTTTCACTGTCAGTGAGGATTTCAGGGCAAGGTCTGGAGCAGAACAACAAGGTAGCTTGTCCAGGAGGGCCCCTTCTCAACAGGAATGGCAAAGGTAGAAATATGGCAAAAAGGGGTGTTGATGACCAGTAGCTCAAGATACACAATTGCATCTCAAGGCATAGGTAAGACACGACCTCTCAGCAAGAAGGATGGGGGTAGGCAGGACTGAACCACAAGTACTTTGATGAGGAAGGACAATGAGAGCTAACACAAACCAGCAATAAAAGCAATAAATGAAGACTATTACCTGTTGAAATATTTCCAGTGGATACAGATGGGATAATAGCTTTAGTATCTTTAGATAGACAAGGCAATATGTTCTTGCATTATCAAATTACAGCTGAAAATAATTATGTAGGTGATTATCATAAAGAAGATAAATTGGAGCCCCATTTAATGATAGTTGGACAGAGAAGTTTTAACAGTACTGCACCGTGAAATCACAGTTTCAAACATTGACACAGCACTGCTGGAAATCTGTATTATGTAGTAACATTAAGAGGTAAGAGAATTAGGTTCCTCTGAAACTTGTATAAAACAATATCTGACAAAAATACCCTATGAAAATATGGGTACTTCTGCTCCTTCTGTTCCATGTGACATATTGTCATGGTTTAACCCCACCTGGCAACTAAGTGCCACCTTCCGTGTGTTGTTTTGGACAACTTCAGTGATAGTGGAAGACAGTGTGAGACAGAGTGTTTGATTTCATCTGTCTGTCTGTCTATCTATCTATCTATCTATCTATCTATCTCTATTTAAAGCAAAAAATCTTCCTAAATAAAATGTGAGCATCTTGAGAAACAAAACCTAGTTCAGTCATTATGATAGGTATTTCTTATATATTTAATTATGAAGAGTACATAGGTGTGACTGCAATGTCACTGATCACTGGAGCAGGTTTCACAGGAATTAAAGCTGTATATGATAAAAGAAATGTATTGAAAAATGAAACAAATCTATTACTTGGAGGTGGAAATGCTACATATATACCCTTCCACTCTGGAAGCTGGGTTGAATTTTTGAGATCCAGACAATGAAAATCAAGCAAATGAATAAACCCACTCCTCTGCTCATAGAAGTCAGAGGACATGAAAAGAAAACATCTTTAAACTGTTGTTTATTTTAGGAAAATACTTATCGTGGACTCATAGAATAGTTTGGGTTGGAAGGGACCGATAAGGTGACCTTTGTGTGTGTTCTCACAACACTTGAATGACAATAGGGCAGAATAAATCCACATGCATTCTTCCCTTAATCTGCTTGTCAAAACTTCCTTTCTGTTATGTCTGACCTGTAATTAGGTAGCATGGGTGAATAGATTAATAATAAAGAGAAGGAAAAACATGAGCCTCCATTTTAACTTTGCTTCTTCCTTATGTCCCAGCTAATGAAACAATGGCCTTGGCAACCTCAGTTTCCACAAAACCCTTAAATATTGGTGACTGCTGAGCAGGAAGTGGACAAGGATTGATTACATTCATACATTGCAAACAAAACAATATCCAAACTGTATGTTAATATGCAACATTAATTTGTGTTAAGATGTGTAAATATGTACTATGCATACTTTATACTTTACGCAGGCTTATTTCACAAAGCTGCAAAAATTAAGAACTAATTCAATTTCTGGAGAAAGTGTCAAGAGGATCTGGAGGTGCTTAAGAACATTTTTGTTCCTAGAATATCTCACAACCGAGGAAGAAGTCAGCAGTCATTAAGAAGACAATACCCACTTAGTAGGAAATTGAAAAATAAAGAAGTGGGCAAAAATAATGGACAATAAGAAGTAAAAACTTCCAAAAACTGATGAAAAGAGCCAATGCAGAAAAGGGGACAGTGAGAAACAGTTTGAAAGTATATCAATGACAGAAGTAATCTTGACGATGTTGCTGCATCATTACTAACTGAAGATGGTAGAAGTACCAATAAACCTGAAATGAAGCATAATTATTTGCTAAATACTTTTGTGCTGCATTTGGGGGTAAAAACCCCCAGTCTTATTCATATCACACCGTAATAATAAAATAATTTCCATTTCAGTGTTGACTTTTAGGTTGTTAAGTAGCAGCTACCAAGCAAGAATCTGACATGTTCTAATCAGTGACTCTGAGTAGGTCACATTCAAAAAAGTGGTCTGAGAAACATCGTGGAATATTTATTTTGACTTACACTAATATTTGGGATCATCAGCCAAGTTTCAGGGGCATTCAGGAAAGGTAAAATTTCTCATTACTTAAAAAAGAAAAGGAGATGAAGCTGGAAGGCATTGGAGTCAAAAAAAAAACCCTCCCATGATCAAGAGGGGCATTCCTACTCAAGTAATTTCTGAGCCCCCAGTCTGTGCAAAGAATGTTCATGTCCCATGAGGAAGCAGATAAGCAAAACGAGCACAGAAATTTATGACATTACAATGAATTCACAGACATCCTTTTTCTATGTGTTCTTCTGCCAATGTTCCTTTCCCCCAGAAAATCTGAAAACAAATTCATGTTTGTCCCACACTCCAGGTGCTGAACATGTGCAAAGAATGAAGGCAAGAAGAGCTGGGTGAAGTCTTGAGAAGGATGCACATAGTAACAAGGTTCTGAGGGATTCTCTCATGCTCTGTGTCTGCTGTTTCTACAAAACTTGGCCAATGTATAGAGGGAATTCAATATGTAGAGGGAATTCTTGCATGGTGACTTTGCAAGACTTGTCTGAGATGATAAAACTGAATTTGACAATGGATGTTGCCTTATATATGCAGAAATGAGTAAATGAGTCCTGACAGGTCCCGGAAGTTTCAGTCCTGAAAAAGTGCACAGATGAGAAATGCAAACTGAAAGGTGATTTGAAAATGCTTTTTAGGACACAGGCTGATCTAATGTTGATGGCAAAAAGAAGAAGAAAGGAGTACAACTGTCTTCTTCAGAGGATGATGAAAAGAATATCACTTATGAAATGAGCAAAGGAAAGGAGGTTTAATGGCAGGATGAATGATTGCTCAGACTACACACAACACTGCAGCAGAACTCTGGATGAATATAGAAAAGCCTTCTTTATGCTCATAGAAGGTGCAGTAATCTGAACTGACTAAACTCAATGATTCTAACAAGGGATTGTGACTGCCATCAGAACATTATACAGTGCAAGACAGCTGAATTTTCACAGGTCAGGCTCAAGGGACTGAAATACTATCTCAATATATTTCTCACTGTCTGAATATATTCCTAAAATTTTGTCGTGTAATGTAGTACAAATTTAAGAATGAAAACAGAATATCAATGATCAATCTGATCAGAGATATGTGTACACACTCTCCCAGATCAAACCAGCAGAGAGAGGCAGGTGATTCCCTTGCTCAGAACTAAATTCTTTGTAGGAAGTTGAAAACATTTCCGTGTAGCCTGACCACCAATAAGGTCCAAAGAGCAGATGGCAGCAGCCTGGCACAGTTGCTTTGATGAAGAAGTGGCCTAACAAGTTGCTCACAAAGAACTCAGCTAAGAAAAGCCAACAAGATGATGCCAAATGTACCACATGTGTGCGAAACAAGAAAACAAGCAAACAGACAAACAGAAACACCAATGTACTGGGTTTCTTCAAGCTGGGAGAAGGTAAAAAAGGGAGATCCAAAGCTGCTGACACTGAAGGCACCTCCTTCCTACTCAGTGGAGTACAGGAGAAATAAAACCATGTTTTAAAAGCTTCCTTTGGTACATCCTTGCTGTCTGTAGCCACAAGGCCACCTCTTAGTACAGCTGCTGCCTCTTTGTTCCCTGATTTGGGAGCTTTTGTCCAGGCAGTATTGATTCAATCTGACTGTAGCTCAGCCATAATACATGTAAAGAGGAAACGTGATTAATCAGAGTGTTCCTCTGCTAACACATTAGCAAAACTGCCAATTACATTTTTCTGATTCGGGAGTTTGATCTTTAGACAGGTGATTGGGCAGTTTATAAAAGTTTGGTGCAATTCACTGATTTTGGATCAGATTACTGCAACACTACCGTAAAATGGAAACCGTGGCTGCAATCAGCTTGGCGCTGATTGATTGCTCTTGTTACAAAAACCCACAAACAACAGGGTATTAAGGGAGATTAAAGACCATTTTCCATCAGAGAAAATTAGTTTATCATTAGTATTATTACAAAAAAAATAGAAGACTGTGTCACGAACCCCTCTTGGTATTAGGAAGAAGATTAAACCACTGAAAGGCAGGAGATTGTTGTTCTGTAAATTCATGCTGCAGACATCTCTAAACTGGTCTGCTAACACCAGATTCAGAGCTCTGAATAAAGCAAAAAAAGACAAATATGAGCAGAAACAAATAAATGTCAATACCAAACATATATTTTGCTGTCCTTGCTGTGAAATGTGTTTCTTAGAAAGACTCTGACTTTGGGCACATGGCAGCAAGCTTCCTGCAAGGGCTGTCAGGGATCCTGTCTATAATCTGTATGACTATGACTCTCCATTTTCCATAATACTGTGGTATGTTAGCAATCATTGTAGAGCTGAGAAAAGATCAGAGTCCCAATCAAAACATTAAAATTGTATTGTAGGGACCCAAATCCAGTATTGTATCCAGGCTGTCTCTACAAAAATCACTTAAATAATCAGCACCATTAGGTTGGCTTTGGTGATAACTGAAGAGCATTTTTTGGCTGTATTATTTTATTTTCCCGAAGTGTTTATTGTACCCTTTATGAATCCCTTCTCTCTGATGTCACAAAACATTTATGACATATGCTAAAGCATTAATTTTCCTGGCAATTTTTCTAAACATGGATTCCCTAATGCACACAGAATGAAATGCTACAGTTATCAGCAGAAACGTGTTTTCCTCTAGCTATTCTGTATTCCAATAACAAATTGAACTGACAGAGGAGCTTTTAACCTTTCATACTGGGCAGATTAACATGATTTCAGCTGATGGATCACAACAGGTTAGGATGACCTTGGATCTTCCTCCACTGAGTCTTGTGGCCTTTTGCTAGTCCCTTTCCTAAGGAAACAAGGCTAATGGGATTGTGCTGTCTCTATATCCATCTGCTAGCCTTACCACTGATTTTTAAACCTATTGATGAGTTTTGGCCCAGTTTTTCAGACCAGCACTCCCTGACTTCACACAAATTCTATGAAAGTGAGCAGCTGAATTAGAGTTATAAACCGATGATCCCAGTGAAGGAACAGCTGCAATATTGGCTCAGCTACAATGCCCGACACTTGAGGATCCAGGAGAGACCTGTCCTGATTGATCTGAGAAACTCTGAGAGTTCACACCTAATTAAGCACTGCATAACCCAAAGACAAGGCTCTTCCCTAAGACAAACCAATTTCCCTCAGTCCTGCTGCTCATCACTGACTACTTAATTACTTCATAATTTTAGGTGGTCTTTCAAGGTGAGAGATAATGCTCAAAGGGTTGTACTCGAAGTTTGCTGGCTTGAAATCAGACCTACTGGCTCTCTTCTTGCAATCTGTTTTTCATATGGGTATTTAGTAGAACTCTGTGAAATTTTAATCCTGCCTGATCACAAGAAATGGATTAGTGTAGAGAGTTTAATATGCACAAAGCTCATTTGGCTTTAGACATGCAATATACCTAAGCCTCTAAATTTTAGGGCAGGGTATATTTGAAGGGTCGGTATTAGAAAACTGTGTTGCTGAATTTATGTTTATAAATTTACTGGGAGAAATAATGTTTCAGCATGTTTCAACATTATACTTTCGTGACATCTGGAAAAATGTTGCGTTCTGAATTGGCAGAGTAAATTAGCTAAGCATAGCTACTGAATTTTCTAATGAAAAATTCACAGAGCCAATCTCTACTGATCACAGGGAGAATGCAAAGTAGCTGGCTGCAATTTCCTGGGTCACTCTGGTTCTGTCACTACCCTTGCCACCAACGTCCTCGCTCTTTAAAAAATTGCTCAATATTCTTGAAGCTTCCCTGACACTCTCCTTTGAAACACTTCCAGAACATTTAGAATTTCTGGAATCCTTAAATGAAGCAAGTAGATATAGGACTTGGTCTTGCCTTTAAAAGAACAAGCAGGTCTATTTCATAAGCAAGTGCATTGCGCAGCCTTGGTGTCTTAAAAAGGAAATTTTTTATGTGCTGAAAGCAGGCATGAGCAAAATGAGCGACATCAAAAAAATGTGAAGGCTATTTAAGAGATGTTTAAAGACACAGAAAGTTAAGCACTAAACACTTTGTTGATACACACTGTTTCATTTACACTAAAAAAAATTTTCACCCTTTTAAGTTTACAGATTAAGACAAGTATTCGTGAGTCCTACTCGGTGGCCCTTTTATTCCACTACAGAAAAGGCGAATGAAAAATAGGAAAAATGATAGCACTGAGAATTAAACAGTTGTTAGAAACACAGATTTCTGAAAATGAAAGCTAAAAATGTCAACGGAAATTTGATGGCTAATACAGATCGTAGTCAGGACCTAAGGAAATTCAAGCAATGCAATAGGCTTGATCCTGTCTAAGGATTTTAAAATGGTCAGTCGAAATATAGAAGAGAAAGATAGTTCCAATGCATGTTTTTCTCCACCTTTGGGAAGAACCATGACGAGATGCTTAAAATTTACATGGATAAGAAAATACTTTGTATTTCATTAATAAATAAAAAGAATCTAAGACTGGAACTACTCATGATAGCGTTTTTAAAGCAGGCATTTTTCAATTCAGGATATTAATGAACCAATTGAAGAACTTCCAATTCATTTTGTACAAATGGTAGTAAACTTGGGAGGTTGTGGAAGGTTATGAACAAACTGAAGTTGTAGTTGTATTGAGGATAAATATCTTTGAAAGACAATACATTTAGATTAGATATTAGGAGGAAATTCTGCCCTGGCACAGGTTGCCCAGAGAAGCTGTGGATGCCCCATCCCTGAAAGTGTTCAAGGCCAGGCTGGATGGGGCTTTGAGCAACCTGGTCTAGTGGAAGGTGTCCCTGCCCATGGCAGGGGTGTAGAATGAGGTGATCTTTAGTGTTCCTTCCAACCCAAACCTTTCCATGATTCCATGATTTTCCTCCCCTTTTTTTTTTCTATTCGCCAACATAGTTATTTTCTTGCATTCTGAATTCAGCAAGAACTTGAACAGGACTGTTTTCAAGATCATGCTAGAATATAATTTTCGGTACCAGCAAAGATCTTTTTAAGATCGGTGTTTATTAAATAATTCCTGAGCTACTGCCAGAGGCAAGGACAAAGCTTCTATCTTCACAAAAAAACAGAAAACAAAATGTTCTTTATAAAAAACGGCTGCAAAATTATTCCTGAAGCTTTCCTTTTCCATACCACTTGGGATAAGTTACAAAAAACAGTAACAACACTCATTCATCTTTGATCCTGTAATGTATTGTGATACTTCTGCAACTTCATTAGAAATCAGGACTCCATTTGAGTCAGTGAGAGCCTTTAACTGGCTGGTGACACTCAGCTGAAAGGAGACTGGCTTGAAGATGATTTGTTTTTTTAATTGCCAATATAATTTACATACAAGAAAGAGACCTGCATTTCCTTTCTGTTTGGTGTGCTGTCACCTTGTGGGTGTCAAAAAGTAGAGCTTTGCTATGATCTTTGACAGAGCCACTGTGTCATCCCTGCCTGAGCTGTTTGCCTGAAACACATGAGACAAGGAACCTTTGGGCCCATTTTGATTGTCTGGATTTTATGTGACATGGATGGTAATAAACTGCTCTGGAGTCACATGGGCTAACTCAGAAATGTATTAGCCTTACAAAGCTCACTAATGTGTAAGTATTTGTTTTTAAAATCTAGGAGTTTCATTTTTGACCTAATTTGACCAAATATTAACAAAGAAACCCCAAAATCAAACACCACACACAGAAACAAACAAACAAACAGCAAAACAAACCAAAGAAAGCATCATAGAACACTTGAGAAATGTTTAAAGGATTTAGAGGTGAGACTGAAACTTCAAGAAATCACCACAAGCCTACCCTATACACATAGAATATGTTGAACTGCCCACTAGTTTAGTGTATAATACATGAAATATACACTCCTCACATAATAACTAAAAATGTCTCTATTTGTGAATGGAATTTTAGCAACCAAGCAAGCCAAATGCAATCATAGAATCATTGAGTGGTTTGGGTTGGAAGGGACCTTAAAGATCATTTAGTTCCAACCCCCCCATCACTTCTGAGGTTAGTGATGTGTAATACTCAGGATCTGTTGACACACAATTGCTGATGGCAAAGAACACAGTAAAATTAAAAGTTTAATCTGATAAACACCTAAGTAATAACAACAAAGAACCAGAGACTTGAACTGATGGGTCTTATTATTTCTTTTATATATTCTATATATATATTCTCTCTCTCTCTCTCTCTCTCTTCTATATACATTCCCTTATTATTTCTTTTTATATCTATATCTATTGCAGAGGTTCATTGAAGCTTAATTGACAGACCAAATAGACAAGGCAGCATCTTTTTAGATGCTTCCTGGGTGCCCCAAGTGGAGTTCTGTTTCCTGTGTTAGTTTATTATTTAAATTCTTTGAGAGTTATTCTATTCTGATAGTATTCTGTTGGCCTGGCTTTGATTTGTACAAAATATTAAATTTAGTGTTAAATGATCATTAAAACCCCCCACTTTTTAAAGAGTCTCTCGATGCCTCAAGTTTTTAATGTTTAAATCTGTCGATTCTGACTGAGTCTTTAAATAATGTTAAAATGTACCAATTCAAAGGGGATAGAGCACGGAGAGAAGCATTTGTTCCAGAAGCTGTTTGGGTGACAGGAATGAATGAGAGTCAGTAAAAGGGCTGAGTATTGGCTCTGTCGTGGAAGCTCCAGGCAGGAACAGGGAATAACAGTGTGTGGGCACCTCCCAGGGCTGGGAATGCCTCTGCTCCCACCCCTTCTTCAGGTCAGCCGAGACAGCAAAACTGAAGTCAGGGCTTGATTTTGATATCCGGCACGGACCACCATGTATTTAATTCCTAAGGAAAACAAAAAGAAAGGAATTATGCCTCAGAGGTGCCTGAGGCCAAAAATGCCACAGGGTTTATTCATTTGGTTGGACGGGGATCACAAAAAGAAGCGAAGGCCCTGTGAGAACAAAGATGCCATAACGTGACCATAGGGCCTCTTACACTGCAAGGGGCCTTAGAAATAATATGGTGGAAGACCAGATTTTAGGCCTTTATAACTGTTAGAATGCTTTCCCAGGAATTTCAAGTGCTGACACGTACCTTATGCCGTGGGTTGTGTGTGATGTCAAGACTGAGTATGTTGGGAGTGTGTTTTTGTAAAATCTTTATGTATTCCCTGGACTTCTTCAGCTGATTCCCTCTCAGGTTGAGGAACTGCACTTTATTAAAGCCTTTTATGCCCTCAAAAGTGATCACATGGTTATGATTCACATCAAAATATCTGGTTAAAGTAATCAGACACATTTAATCTTTAAATAGACCTAATTGGATCCAGAGCCTGGCACTCCCCTTGTTCAGTATTGGGCCTGTTGAGGGAGGCCTAGTGTGCTCCAGAATTGTTTCTCTATTTGTTCATATAAAACAACCATCATATAGGTCAAATGGGTGATAAAGTGATATCACTGTAGCATTGTGATTCAAATTGGAGATAATATCAACAGGCACCAGAACTATGGGCTGCTAATGATATCACTGTATTTATGATGCAAATTTAGTTGTCCCCTATTCTGTTCCTCTCTGCATCCCAGCCCAATCCTGTCTTGTGAGCATACCTCACAAAGGAAGAATATTTATGCTACTAAATCTTCCTTATAAAAAAAGGATTAGAGCTTAATTTCTCACCAGCACATAAATATTATTTAATGAAGTAAATTCAAGAAAGCTGATGATAGGCTTTAGAAGTGTTTTTAAATCTAGAGCTGTCCTGCAGCGTGCTCAGGCTGTTCCCATTCAAACTCAAAACCTAGGCCAAACGTAGATCAGAAACAACAATTTTGCCAGACCTGTAGCCAAATTCTATAATACTCCATGGCCGCCCTTAAAATGAGAAAGCTTCAATTGATGGTGTGCCAATACAAATACAATCCTACTGCTAAACCGTAAAAATACCATAAAATATGAATAAAAACTAACATGAAATAATGAAAAGACAATATAGGCTATGATGACCCTTTTTCAGTTATTTAAAACTATTTGTTCTCTAACTTCTCCCTGAAATAAAAGTGATGGGGAGTCAGAGAGGAGGGAACAGATGCTGCTGGCACTAAGAAACTGGCAATTCTTCCATTATGAAAGAGCAGCAAAGGAAGAGTGGAGCTGAGCAAAGACAGGGAACAGATCCTTAGGAAAAGGAAAAGAGAGTGAAGAATTGCTAGTATCTCAGTGTAAACAGAGATCACTGAAAAGATGGAACTTTGATAAAATAGGAAGAGAAATGTTATCCTCCTCTTTCCCCTCTTTCTTAACGTTGCCTCTAAAATTGCTGATTTTTTTCCCCCAGGTTTCAGCCCAATAATTATAATTCACATTGCATAATAACTGATAGGCAGAGGAACGCCAGACCTAGTGGTGTTAAATAAATGTAAGTAGCATCAGAATCAAGCCCAAATGGAAACTTCAGTTTTTAACTTTTGTGTTTGGTTTAGGTCATGAGCCAAACTGAATAACAAAGTAACAATTACATAATACATTCATTTTACTGAAAATTTGACATCACTATCTCACTTGTACCTGAATAAATATTGGCCTTAAACACTGCAGAAACTGTGGGCTTTTTTCATTGAAGCAGTCTGAGGCCTGACCTTTACTGTCAGTTCCATGTTCAAAACATTAACATCACGTTACAAATCATGAGACAGAATAAATCTTTCTGTGTTTCTCTTTCCCTCTTTCACTATTATATTGCACATAGAAGACAGACACTGTTTTTTGAGCTATATAAAATAAAAGGAATTTGAAATTTGTAAACTTTCTAATTTTTAATTAAATAATGAATTTAATACTGATTGTAAAATGAGAGATGCTTGATTAGGAAATGAATAGCAATCAAGTCAGAAAAACGTCTTTCTGTAACACCAATCTGCTAGAAACTGTGTTTAATTGCCTCATAATCAAAGTGTAGCAAATAGCAGAGTAACACACTCAAATCCAGCAATGTATTCTGTCAGGACCAGTTTTTGGTCAAACACAAGCCTCTCACAATGCCGGTGGCTGCAGCCACAATTCCCCCATTCCAAGGAAGCCCACATTTCTAGTGGACAAAACAGGGTAAATATATTGCTGTTTTTTAGCTAAATTTGATAGTAATTTCAGAATGCTGAGTCAAAGGTATCTTCTTCCATGAAGATCTATCAGTTTAATTCCTTTCTACCATTAGACTTCTTTGACATACAGATTCACACAGGTTAATGAAGGAGTTTACCTTGACTCTCTAATATCCTGTGCAGAATAAACAACTGTCAGATTCCAACATGAAGATCTCAGCCTGTCAAAGCCTAGCTTAGATCCCGAAAGCATGGACAGCTCTCCAGCAGTGCTTCCCTTCCTGCACTGTCCAAAACTACTCTGTATTATGGTGTGATCACCTTCCAAATTACCTTTTATTTCCTTCCTTCTAAGAAACCAGAAACAATCTCAGTTCCTTTATAAAGAGACAGAGTTGTTCCCTGTTAGCATATCAAAGTTTGGATGGTATATCAGAGTGAACAGGTAAAATTATTACTCAAATTCCACTCTGTTCTCTTGCAAAAAATGGAGTAAAGCAGAATCTATTGCTCAGAGGATACACATGATACGGTGATTTAATCTGGTTACTTACAACTCTATTTCTTGATTTTATTTGCTTAAAAAAAAAGTCTATGGGTTTTAGGGGTGAAGATTTCCCCTGTGGTATGTGTATATTGCCCTTTTTAACACTCACTCAGTCCCACTGTGGGAAGAGTAGGTGTGAACCTGCATGAAATGAGCTGTTTTTAGTGTGGACTCCTGGCTAAATAGCAGTGTGGCACTAAATCATGTTCTCCCTGTCAACAAAACAAGCACAAATCTTTAAGAGAATATTCGGAGAGGAACCTTCTTGCTTGTTACTGTCTTGAAAAAAATGCACTTTAGCTGAGCAGAGACTGTGTCCCGAGGAATGAAACCTCTGACACAACCCATAGTCAAAGATGAGTTTAGAATACAGCTGTTAATTCAGCTTTAACTTTATCCTGACAAGTGCCTACAAATACACACCATTGCCAGAAGTAGATGCATCACTTTCTTGGCATTTCCATGGCCTGAATACTGAATTAGCTCCTCAGTAGTTGACTTGATAGATGGGATTCATTGCACAAGCTGGAGAACTGTGGCCAAGGAACACTTTTGCAATTATCACTTTCCCTAAGAGAGGGAGAAAAGGCACTTAGTGCTTCTAATTGTAGCATGGGGGTGCAGAGAGGACAATATAATTGTGATACTTAATGTAGTAAAAGGCAGGCTACTTCTTGGTCTGGCAAATGAATGCTCTAATATGTATGTAATACACATTAATAAAAAGAGTATTTTATATGTATTATGATTCTGGTTTTATTGGGTTTTGTAATGAAACAAATTGGAAAAAAATTACACTGTGAAATCTGACATTTGTAGCTGGCTTATACTTAAAATCATCGAAATCCAAAATGCAAGTAATTTCATAAAGAGTGGAACCTGTGAGGCCAGGTATCCTTTGGATTTGTGTCATAAACACTTCATTACCTTAAAAACTTCCATACTTTTTTTCAAAAAGTGACTGGTGTCATAAAAAAATCAGGTATATCTAGTTATTTCTCTCTCTTCAAACTCCTGTCTGGGAATTACTCCCAGTAGCCAAAGCCCTTTGTGGAAATTCCTAATACTCTGAAATGCCACTGGGACATTTCAGCAATATTCCAGAGCTCCTTTCAAGGCTGCATGTGCCACCTCATGGCCATCTACAGTATCTACAAACTGTCCTTTCTGTAACAGCAATTATTCGGGCCATACAGCACATATTTTACAAGACCTCTCCAAACTTTGAATTACCATGCTTGAACGACTTCTTAGGATCCCTGCTGGTTTTGCCTTCTGTCTTAGCTTATTATTTCAGAAACTCTGTTTTGGGACATTCACATAAGCTGAGACTGTTACAGAAAAGAGAAGGTTTTTTTATGTCAGGCTACTGCAAAGATCAAAGCAAGGGCCAGGTGTCTTTATTTGACTGAGACCATCCCTTAAAAATGTAAACAAATTTAAGCAGCATGAAAATATCATACTATGAAGTATGATAAGGGGTGGCAGGCAGGGAAAACAAAGAATAATGAATAAGAAAATAGTTTATGGCATCATTATTCCAACAAATGAGAGATACATACAAGAAAATCACCCTGTTAGCTCTGTGTGTTCATATAGCATTTAACATCAGATAAAAGGACCTCGGGGGGGGCTCAACAAACTGGCATGATATCAGGGAATCATAGAATGGCCTGAATTGGAAGGGACCCTAAAGATCTTCCAGTTTCAACCCCCTGCCATGGGCAGGGACACCTTCCACTAGATCAGGTTGCTCAGAGCCCCATCCAACCTGGCCTTGAACACTTCCAGGGATGGAGCATCCACAGCTTCTCTGGGCAACCTGTGCCAGGGCATAGTCAAGAATTTCTTCCTAATATCTAATCTAAACCTACTCTCTTTCAGTTTGAAGCCATTCCCCCTCATCCTGTCACTCCAGGCTCTCGTAAATAGTCTCTCTCCATCTTTCCTGTCGGCTCCCTTCAGGTATTGGAAGGCCACAGTTAGGTCACCCCGAAGCTTCTTTTCTCCAGACTGAACAAGACCAATTGTCTCAGCCTTTTCTTGTAGGAGAGGTGTTATATAAACAGTAATAAAGCAAACCATGACAATAGATGCTGCATTTGAAAATACATGCTTGCAAACCAAAAATCTGATATCAGAGCAAAAAGAGAAAGGCAGATGTGTGAAAGGTCAGAAAGAAGAAAAGGAGAGCAATGGGGGACTAGAGAAAAGTTGTCCTAATTGATTTTCCTACTTGCTGTGCCAGAATGACCCTACATTTAGGGTCAGGTATCTGGAAATACCAGGGAAAAATGGAGTAGGGTTAAATTTAAGATTAAGGACAAAGGAGGCAGTGACTCAGAGTTCAGGACAAGGCTTGCAAGCCAGGACTCGAGTGTTCCATGACTGGAACTGAGACTGCAAGAACTGAAAACCCATGCTGTGCTCTGTGTAGCACTGGTAGAAAGAACACAATATTAGCAAAATGACATTGTGTTCAAACAACTGCAAATGAAAATTATAAAATAAATGGCTGGAGAAACCACTGAGCACATCTGTTCCACAGGCAGGAAATGCAGAGGCTGCAGGTGTTACTGTGGAGATCTCCAAACTAGTCCTGCACCAGTCCTCACAAACTCTAGTGGGGGGTACTGGTGAGAAACAAATGTGAAGAGACAATTTGCAACAATAAGAGAAAGGGCAAGGAAAGGACAAGGAGATAATGAGAAAAACTGGAAAGTGTTAATCGTGCCTTTGCCATGGATCGTACAAAGATGTGAAGAACGAAGAAGAGGTAACAGCAAGAAATGTAATGAGAACAGAGGAAGAAAACACCAGAAAGATAACTAGAAAAATTATGAAAGGAGAGAGAAAAAGGGGAGCAGCAATTTTCTGCCTGTGGTGTTCTGTGTTATCCTTTACTACACAACAGCATTCTTCTGTCCATGATGCAGCATAACATACGTACTTCCAGACCCTGGAAACTATCCACCAGCATTTGAGGCAGCTGCTTTTCCTTAACTGGCAATTCAGGGTTGCATACACAAGAGAGAGATTCTATCTTTTCTTATTAATAACCTACAAACAGAAGAAATAGGGAAGGACTCCAGGTATTCATTATGCAGGCAAAAGACAAGAATAGACATTCTGACCATTTAAAGTTTGCACATAGAACAACATTTACTAAGGACAACAGACTAGGATTGACACAAATTCCATGATACTGATTTTCACAGTCATCATGAGATCACTTTTAAGATTTTTTTTCACCCCTTGCCTCTTTATAATCAGTAAGAGTAGTCTTTATGTTTGGTATTACCAAAGTAAAACAACCCCAAACCCCAACCAAGTTATTCACCTCTGTAGCCACAAGTCTTGTCTTTGCTGAAGATCTCAACCAGGGAGGTAGCAATAATATAAGAAGAAAGAGAATAGTAGGATAAATGTTGACAGCAGATCCCAAACCACATACGAATACCACAAGACTGTTGATAGCTTATTTTTTCCTAAAGTTCTTTTTCATAAGATTGATATTTCTGGTGATTTACAGCACTGCAGTTTGAGCATCTGCATGTTAGTGTGAGGATCTGGTTAATTACTGCTGAACTTCTCTGCTAAAATAAAAGTCAGACCGTGAGATTTCAGCTTAACAGTGTGGGGCTGATAGTTTCTTCTCAGGAAAGACACATAATTTCCTGTCACCAACTGGAATGGGGTCTAACAGAAGAGTCATAAAATCCCAGAGTGGTTTGGGTTGGAAGGAACCTTAAAGACCGTCTAGTTCCAATTCCCCCGCCATAGGCAGGAACACCTTCCACAAGACCAGGTTAAAGCCCCATCCAGCCTGGCCTTGAACACTTCTGGGGATGGAGCATCCATGACTTCTCTGGGCAGCCCATGCCAGGGCCTCACCACCCCAAATGCCCAAGCAAACAAAAAGAAAACCCCTCAAATGATTCCCCAACCTGTTATGCCATTAACTGAAACACTGCATCTCAGAATGGGCACACTCTGAATCCCAGGAAATTTGTTTTGATCTTGGCAGCTAAAATGTTCTGAGCTCAGAGGGCACCTGCTATCCCTCAGGGAGAAAAGGTTTTGCTTTCAAGATTGAAAAGGTCTTCTAGCTCCCTTCAAGCTCTTGGCTTACGCATAAAATGAACTTTCACGTACTCAAAGTAAATGCACTTGAAAAGATGGAAAGCACTGCATTAACTGTACTAAAATTGTAAAAATATCATCACAAATATCAAGGATGCAAAGAAAGGGATTCATCAGTTCTGTCTCAGAGCTACAAGTTGGCAACTGGATGTGGTAAGACCATTGCCCCACTGGGGACACAGCTCTACAAGCTGCTCAGGGCAGATGTTCCCCAGTGCTTATGACAGAGATCTTGGCTCCATCACAGGTCTCAAACTGATTCTTGTAAGGCAGTGAAATAAATAAGTGCAGTAATGAAAATTTCAAAATTGAGACTTACCCAGAAAATCTTGGGACTTACCTGCATGGATACAAATCCACCTTGTGACTGTCCTGACGTGCACGTGCTCTCCTGTGATGCAATGAGACACAGATGCAGGTGCATCTGGGTGGGATTTGATTTGTCTCTGAAATCCAAGAGCCAGTCATAGAAACACCCAGTATAGGGACTCTGGGGAGCTTCAAGCCACCTCTATCTGGGTAAAATTTCTTAACAACCCTAAATTATTTGATGCTTTGCAAAATGTTTCTGTTCTTGTAAGCCCAGAGTTAACCAGGACAATGCTACAGTAAATGTCTTTTACAACTTGGGCACTTTGCTACACTGAAAACTTCTTCTTACACAAATATTTGAAACTTCTCTTTAAATTTCAGCCTCAGAATTTGATTGGACACTCTAAATATGCGTTTATTTCCGTTTCCATGATTCTGTATGTTTTGAAGTTACAAGTACAGAATGGTTACTCAGTGCAGAAATGCACACAGAGAAGAAGGTAACAGTATTTTTTCTTGTTTTGCACTGACATTTTTCAGTTCTTTCTACATGATTTTCTTCTGTTTCCTATTTAGAAGAATCACAAGAAGTACCTCTAGCCTGTTTCATTTCATTATAACTTTGCTCTCACAAGCAGAGACAAATTTACCTTACATTATTCAAGGGCTGCATTCAAAGTGAAGCACCAAATATCAACATCCAATCACATATGATTCACTGTGTTCCTTTTGTCTCTTTGCACTGTCATATTTTAAATCTATTTAAATCCTTCTAAGGCAATCATAGTTTGCAAGTACCTACAACAGTTTCTGTAGTCAGACTTGAGAAAGCAGAGACAGTTCATATGAACCTGGGGGAAGAGCTCACCTATTCTCTGTGGTACACAAGTCAAATAGCTTGAAAATACTTAGCCATTTTCTCTATGTCTGACTATGAAGACAATAAACTCTCATTTTCCATCTGGTACTACAAGATTCCTTAAAGATTATGGGGTAATGAATCACCTTAAAATGAGAACCATCCTAGAAATGCAGTAGGTTCCCCAGTTTTTCAATCAATGGGAAGTTTTCTTAAGAAGAAATAATATATAACAGCCAAAAGCAGTACTACAACTATTAAAAATATTGTTCTATCTCTCTCAAAAAGAAAAGATTCTGTGCTAAGATTACTCATCCAAAAACCTTTGGTTTGGCTTTCATCCCTACAGGAGTGATTTATTAATTTCTCCTTGCCAGAACAAAAAGATCCTTGGCTTGAGAAAGTGGCATTAGAAGTAAGCAGAATTCTATTTATAAACAACCTCAAATGCAAACTGTAAGCACAGGAGTACTTGCAGCTCTAACAAACATCCCTGAACACGGAGAAAAGGCTTACCTGAGGTGGACAAGCTTGGAGTATTCAAGCAGAAAACAGTCCTTGAAATACTGCCAGTCTAAATTTGAATCTCCCCTCAACTGAGCGTCAAGGTTATTCATACAAAGGTTATGGAAGTGCCTTCTAATGCTTCTTTGCAAGTAAAGATATGTAGGAACTTAGAATACACATTGCTGTTGTTATAGAGCAATTGGATAGCTTGCTTACTTTTACCCTCCTTTTTTAAGATCAAGACCTTCATATATAGGTAAAATAAAATAAAGGCAGCAAAAAAATTGGTCTTTATGGGCTCAAAATTTCAGCCCAGTACACCACCAAGAGAAGGAGAGGAGAGGGAGTGTTTTCTTTCTTGTCAGCTGTCTTCAAGTGGAGGCTGATGTTTCAAAATATTCCAGATCCTTGTAATAAATCTCTTTTGTTAAAAGCTATCAACTTGGAATCATAAGAAACAGGTAATTGAAGCACCTTTAAAAGTTTACCATGGATCTGATAAACCTTCTTCAAAGGGAATGTTTCCCACTGTTTCCAATTACATCAACAAGAATTGTACTACCAAACTAAAACTTTTCCTAATATCCACTTGGAAATATTTTAAAATTCTGCCTGGAACAACAACAACAAAAAGGGCAAATTGACATAATTTTGTTTTTTTGTAAACAATGAATTTAGAGAGATGAATGATTACAGGAAGGTTTGTTTGTTTGTGGTCTTTTTGGGATGTATTTTTTATGAATCTGAAGGTGATAGATGATGCCAGACTACAACGGTGGTTACAGTTATCCTAATACATGGATATATTGATCCTATATTGATCTGTAACACCAAGCTTCATTCTGATGCATGAGCTTCAGGGCTATGCTGGCATCCAACACTAGGTCTGTGGCATCACTGACATGCCACAGTCCGTGAGGGGAAAGGAAATGGGACCGGGCACTGCAATAAGGGTTCTGACACAGTTGAGGTCTCGTGCAGCAATGCCACTTTATTTAGGGGAAACAAGGGTTTAAATAACGTAGGTTTGAGGGGTGGATTCTAACCTGGGGAGGCGCAAGAGATTGACAACTCAGGGAAAAGTGTGATAGGGAGACAGGGGAAAGGTGGGTGGAACTCCCGGGTCTGAGGGAATGGGCCAATAGTAGCTCTC